AGCGCCGCGCCCTGCTCCGCGCCGGGGGCGGTGTGCCCAGGGGGCTCTTGGAGGGGTCCCGCCGCCCCAGCCCGGCCCCGCACGGTTGCGGCCCCCCGTGCAAGGGGCTGTCAGGGCTGCTGCTCCCCTCCGCCTTCCCTCGTCCCGACGGAACGCTGGTGGGATGCCCAATTTCTCCAGCTCCAAGAAGCTGTCCCCCTTCCTCCCCGGCCGGAGACGCTCTAGTGCCCGCCCCGACTGCCTCAGTTTGCCCGCGGAGGACGGGGGAATGCCGGCTGGGATGTCACTGTTGTGGGGGTCGGTGCCTACTGGATCCCCCTGCGTCCCTTCCCTGGCTCCACCTGTCCTAAATACTAGAGGGGTAAGAGGGGGCCACCTGCTTTCCAGAAACCGAACCCCCAAATTCACCATCCCTGTCCGTCTTCGCCTTCCCTCTGCCCGCTCTCAAACTTGTGCGCTGCAGGCAGCCAGGGGTTAATCCTGGTGCTGGTATGAGTGTGTGTGTGTGTATGGGGGGGGTGTCCCCCGCCCTTCCCCCTCCCTCCAGCCCCTTTAAATATAATTTGTTAACGTTGGGACTTGTATTAATTAAAGCAGCAGCCGCTGCAGCCTGTGACCTGGGGGCCTGTCACCGTGAAATCAAGTTTAAATCCAGATTTAAAGGGGGAAGAGAGCTGGGGGGAGTGCTGTATCCTTCCTAAGAAGTGTGACAGTGACAGCTTCTTGTCGGTCCCTGGCCCTCCTGAGCCCTGGGTGGAGCAAGAAGGACCGTCCCTCTACTCTCCGGAGCCCTTGCCTCAGTTTCCCTGCAGTGCAATCGGGAGAAAGGCTCTAACATCACCCCCATCCCGGGATGCCCTGGGAAAAGATGGCAGATGCTGTGTCAGGCTCAGGACACACAGGGAACAAAGTCGTTGTGGTGCTCAGGGCAGGAACTCCTGTGGTTGGAGATGGTGGTAGCTGTGTCCTGCTCTGCATCTTTTGTCAGCCAGGGCTTACTTGATAGTGGAAATGAGTGCAGGAAGCCGGGAAGAAGGTTTTCTCTCCTGTGTAGGGGTTTTGGAGAGATGCACTCCCTTTGTCTCTCTTCTCTGCTCCACCTTTACTCTCCCTATTGGAGTCACTGTGGATATGCACTGGGGCATATTCATATACCACCCATGAAAGTGGTGGGATGGGTATAAACACCCTTGGGAAGCTGGAGAAAGCAGCAGCCTGATCCTGACCGTTCTCCCTGTCCCCTGAGCAAGCTGTAATTCAGCAGGGACACTGGGGCTGAACCCTCCCTCCAGAGCTGGGTGAGCTCTGAGCTGGGGAACTCATCCCCTGACAGCTGCTTCTGTCCATGTACCTGCACCAGGCTTGCAGGGCTTGAGGGAACAGAGGGGGAGTAACCCTTCTCCCCAGGACCTGGCAGCTGCAGTCCTTCCTCCAGCATCCTCCTCCAAGTCTTGTTTCTGTAATCAAAGTTCAAAGGGCTTTGAGCTCCTCTCTTCTCCCAGGGACCCAGCTCTTGCTTGTCCCAGGGAACAGGGAGAGACCTTCCTGGGGAGAGCTCTCAGCAGGGACCAAGGTCTCCTGAACAAGCAGTAGGGTGGCGCTGAGCTCCTAGTGGACCATGCTGCAAGATGCTGTATGTTGCCGGGTGTCCCATTGCCTGCTGCTTGCTTTGTGGGTCTTCCACTTGGACACTGCTTATCCCAGAGTCCTTCAAGCCATTCCCTGGAGTTGGGCAAACACTTCCCACTGTCTCCCTCTTCAGATTTGTCTGTCATGTGTACCACTGTATTAGCTCCAGGCATCTCTTTCTGGATGTGCTTTGTCTCCCCGCATCCCACATCCCATATTCCATCTCCACACACTCCATCTACTTCCCCATTTCCCCAGGGAACATCTCTATTTGTAGCCCTGCCATGGACCATGTGCCTCTCCTAGCACCCATCCATTTGCTGCTCTCTGTGCTTCTGTGGCCACGTGCATCTGCTTCAGTGAGGTTAGGATGTGACAGTGGACTTGGGATTGTTGCTGGGAGCTTGAGAATATTTGGCACAGTGCTTGGCTCCATATTTCACAGCTGAGCTGAAAAGGCTGATGACTCCCTTTACCTCCCTTGCAAGGACCAGCAGTGTTGGGGGATACAGGAGATGCAGGGAGGGGATCAGCCAACATCAGGGGTGGAGGCAGACCTGGAATGAGCCTTCTGCTCCAGGGTCATTCAGTTCTCTCAGGGGGAAGCTTTCTGTGGAAGGTAAGCTGGGGCAATGAGTGCTGAGAATCTGCAGTGCATGGCCAGTGTGGGAGATCCCTGGGGGAGCACACAGCGAGAGAGTGCAGTCCTGGGAGATGCTGGGCTCCAGAGGCAGGATGGCCAGATTTGACTGCTGCTGGGCAAAGGCTGCCAGGGTGTCTGTACTGTACTTACGTTGCTGGAGGGGACTGCAGCCCCAGTGCTGCTTGGGTATCTCTGCCTGGGTAAGCTGCCGTTGAGCACAGGGTTTTTCCAGCCTTCCCTGTAGGCAATGGGCACAGTGTGGATTGAGGAGCATCTCCCCTCCCCGTATGTGTGTTCCCCACAGACTTTTCCCCTTTCCCAAATGGAAAACCAAGTGGCTGACATTGCTTGCTCTGAGCTCAAGGGTGTCCTTTTCCCTCCCAGCTCCTGCTCCAATGAGATCCTGGGCCTGAAGCTGCCATCAGAGCCAGTGTTGAATGCCAACACGGTGTGCCTGACCCTGCCGGGGCTGACGCGGCGGCAGCTGGAGGTGTGTGTGCGCCACCCTGACGTCACCGCCTCGGCCATCCAGGGCATCCAGATTGCCATCCATGAGTGCCAGCACCAGTTCCGGGACCAGCGCTGGAATTGCTCCAGCCTTGAGACCAAGAACAAGATTCCATATGAGAGCATCATCTTCAGCAGAGGTAAGGGTTGGATGGTTCCCCTCCTGTCCCACTATCCAGCACTGGCTCTCTGGAGCCCTCCTGGGTTGCCCCTGTGCCCCTGCACAGCTCTTCCCTGGCCCAGGGGATGAGGCGAGCTCTTCAGCATCCCCATGGATGAAGGCAGAGAAATGTTAGTCTGCCAGATGAAGGAGCACTGCACTATGGCAAAGCTGCTCCATGCACTTTGTACCTGCACTGGCCCTTGTCCTGAGCTGTTCCTTCCTGACCAACTCCAGCTGCTTCAAAGGCTTTTTTCAGGCCCTCCTGCTTTCTGGCATCTTCTCCCTGTGTGGCGTAGGCTGGTGTTTGGAGCAGTGCCAGGGGTGTGCAGCATAGTTGGTGGGTCTGAAGGTGGATGCCATGCTCTGGGATTTGGTTTGGTGGGTACAGCTGAGCATCTTGGCTCAGTCCTGCTCTGGGGATGGTGTTTTAGTGTGTTGTGATGAGCTGAAATGCCCTTAACCAGTGGGGCGTAGCTCTATGAGCCTGTCACCCTGGTGTTTTGCCCTTATCTTCACTTTCCAGTGCAGAGAGCTAAGGGCTCTCTGTTTTGTGGGACCCTAAAGCGTGATGGCAGAGGGGACAGGGATACAGGCTGTCCTGGGAGCTCACAGGGCCCTGCAGAGAGCTCACCTGCCCACAGAGCCCAAAGCTGCGCTGATGAGAGAACTCTCCCAGCTCTCCACATTCTGCCAAGGATCCTGGTGCGAGGATCTCATCTGCCTCGCAGTCATGTCTGGCTCTCATCAGAGCCTCCCTGGCTGATACTCTGTCCCCCAGGGGCAGGTTCTGGGGCTGGCCTGCATGGTGCAGGTTACAGTTGTGACCTGATGGGATCTTCTAGTGGAGCTGAATGTATCTTTTCACCTGAGTATCCTTTCTTGAAGCCTGTGCCTCAGGATATTTCTAAGTGCCCATTGTCATAGACCATGGTCAGGAGGACAATATGGTGCCAGTGTCTGGCAGTCAGGGTGCTGAGGGCAGGCCAGGTGCCCTGCACACGTACCACTCCTCCAGCTCCCAAGAAAGGAGAAAAATACCTAAGAAACTGTTCACATACCCTCTTTGTGAGCCTCTGAGCCTGATGCCCAGCAGAGAGTTGCAGCCATCCACTCTTCTTCAAACAGCCTTCCACGTCCTATATCTTCTTTCCCTGGGACTATGAGGAGAGTCTCAAAGAGGAGAGGTTGGCAGCTTGAGGCTTACATGTCATTGAGGGGATGTGGTGGCAGGAGCCCACAGGCAGCTGTAGCAAGCAGGGAGAAGGCTGGAGAGGAGATCACAGAAGCATTTTGGTGTTCAGAGATCCCTCATGTCCAGGGCAGCCTGGACAGCCTCACTGGATGGAATGCTACCTCGGAGCATGTGTGGCAGCAGGGCTGTGGTCCTGCTGTGGAGCAGCCCTGGTCCCTCCCCGGACCTTAGTGCCTGGAGAAGGGCAGCATCTCTTCCTGCTGTGAGCAGTGCCCAGGTTAGGGCCTGGCAGGAAGGGTGGGGACTGTCAGCCCTGATAAGCATCGAGGTATTTTCAGGTCCTCTGAGGAATGCGATTCACTTCTAGTCTCCTCAGGCATCAGGAGACACTGACTTGCTGGCTCAAGTTGCTCACACACCCAGACAAACTTCCTTGCTCCAGGTCCCACCAGGCTGGGTAAGAAGCACCAGCAGCAGAGAGCATTGACCTGCATCCCTCCTTCAGCCCACCTTGTCTGCTGGTGGCCCCAGTGACTTGCACCTCACTTCCGTCTCATGCTCCTGCAGCCCTTCCTGCTGCCAGGGCTGAGACCGATGGGTGTGGAGACTCCCACAGACCCTGGACTCCAGCCCCCATCTTGAGCTGCTGCATATGGCTCAGCCCAGGCTCTCAGCATTGGTGGGATCCCATTCTCTGGGATGGAGACACAACATCCAGCAGCAGGGCAGGATGGAGGTAGGGCTGGAGCATTAGAGCAGGCAGACATCTCATGGCCCTCCTGTTTTGGCAGCAGAGGTTGCAGGATGAGCCCCAAGCACTCAAGCATATCTCCAAGCTTGGAGCCTTTCTGGCATGGAGCAAACCTTAAGGCTGGAGCCCTGGCCCACTTTGAACTCACTCATGTCCCTCAGTAACAGTGCTGGAGCTCTGAGCTTTGCCTTCCAGCTGTTACAGGCACAGCCATCAGAGAGGGGATGCATCTCAGCAGCCCAGTGCTGGAGGAGAGGCGAGTGGTACAAGCGAGGGGTGCAGGCTCCGTGCCACAGACTTTAATGTGTCTGACCTCCAGGGACCAGGTCTCTGCTCTGTGCTCTGCCCCATCCTTGCCATGCCTGGGAATGCAACGTTCTTGTAGGATCATTGTTTGTAACCCAAAGTGACAGACCCCTTTAATCTTTCATTCCTTTTCCCACTTCTTCTGCCATCAGTTCAGCCGTGCGTGAATCTCACTTTAAATTATTTGTAGCTGGCTTCTCCCTCCCGCTCTCCCTGCTTGGCTCCACTCCCCAGCTCTGTCCTGTCCTCCTGCATCTCTCACATCTTCTCCCGTGTGGGCATGAGCTGGACAGGAGGCAACACTGTTCCAATCTGTCCTATGGTGCCTATCCCGCACTCTTCCCACTATCCAGGCACTCAGTGGAGCCAGGGACCTCATCCCCTGGACACAGGCAAGAGGACAATGGCAAATGCGTGCCCATGTCCTCATCCTGCTGAGCTGATCCCAGAAGTTTGAGTGTCCTGGGGAGACAGGAAGAAGAGGCTTCAAATCGGACAGGGCTGGGAGTCTGGGGTGGCTTCAGGGCAGCATAGCTGGAGACAGGGATGCTGACAGCATCCTGGGCAGAGCACAGACCTGGGAGATTCTGCCATCCCTGGGGCATGGGAAACGGTGTCTGAGGCATAACAGCAGGTTAGTGGAGGGCCACGGGGGTGCCCAGAAGTTTGCCATCCCTGCTTTCACAGAGCTGTTGGGATTTTTTGAGACACCATTATGGTCTGTAGGTTTTTCAGGTCTGGTCTTCTGATGCTGCATCCTTGAGGCATGGGATGTTCTTTGTACCCTCTGTTGAATCTCCAGTGCCACCTGCACCCCCCCATCCTCCTTGGCTCATGTCCCCTCCATGTTAAGCCAGGCTCAACAGTGCTATTGCAAATCCTCCTCCAGTCTTCCCTGGCTCCCCAGCTGGCTGCCTATGTACTCACCACCTTCCTGGCCATTTTCTGGCACTGTCATTTCTTCCAGGACTCTCCAGTGCTGTTCCTGGTCCCATCCTTCTCTGCTATATCTCCTTCGCCCTCCATGTGCTCACCTGGCTGACAGAGACATCCTCTCCTGGCCTCAGGAGATGTGGGGGAATGGAGCAGTGAGGTGGAGGCAGGTGGCTGCATCTACACCAGCAGTGGAAATAGGTCCCCTGCTCCTGCTTCAAGGCTGAGCAGCACGATTGTGTCCACCTCAGTGGAGAGGATGGCCTGTAGTCCTGGTATATTGTCCCACTACAGCATCTGTGGGTTGCCAGGCACTGTGTGGCTTGTCTGGGCTGACCCAAGCCTGATTGCCTGACAAAAACCAAGCTGCAGGTGGTGGTGGGTCACTGAGTCTTGGTCCTTGTCCAGTATGTGTGCACCCAGGGTGCCATCAGGGCTGGGACTGTCTGGCTGATGGCCAGGGGCTGTTTGAGGTGTGCTGTGGGACTGACTATTCCCCTTTCCTCATCCTAACCTACATGGAGTCCTGCATCTTAGTCTACATGGAGCTCTGAATAAATTAGGACCCCCATGGAGGGGCTGAATGTCCTTGAAGGCCTTCAAAGGCTCATGGTTGGAGGGGACATGTCTCTGGAGTGCAGTATCTCTTGGTTCCTGCAGCCTTTGGAGAGGCTGCTTGCCCCATGTCCTCCCTGGAAGGGCTCACTGGTGACAAGGGGCCTGGATGGCCATGTCCAGATCTTGATTTCTCCCAGCAGGGAGTGGGGAACTCCCTGCAAGGATGGAAACACCAGGTGCTGGGGCCCAGCCAGCTGTGAAACGGAGCTTGGGGAAGCTTTGCTGTGTGCTGAGGGAGGCAGGTGCTGTTACAGCTATCCAGGGAGATGCTGCCAAGCTCAGGACCCTGGAACCCAGCTCTGCAGAGCCCCAGCCAAGCCCCGGTGCCCGCAGACCGCAGCGCCTGGCCTGGCGCACCTGCAGCTGGGCTGCTGGCAGGGTTTTGTGTACCCCCAGGCAAACCAAGGGCTTTGCCCACCTGGCCCTCAAGGACGTGCGGGTGCTGTGGATGCTTGGCTTCATCCCTGTGGGTTCCCCATTCCCTGGACCTTCTCCCCACTGACGGCGCAAGTGGGACCCTGGGGCCAGGCAGGATTCCTGGCGATTGGGGCTGAGCTCGGCTCCCTGCAGCCTGCACAGCAGCAAGGGCTGCTCTCTCATGGTGCCGTGGGCGGACAAGCAGCGAAGGCTGCGGGCTGTCCCTGGCATGCTCAAGAAGGTGCAGGGAGGCAAGTTGGGATCTGCAGGGAGGCATTTAGTGCCTGGTGCTGGGCCAGACCCTGGCAGGTTCACCTGCAGTTTAATTAGGGAGAGGGGAGGGGAGGGAGCGGGGCTGGGGGAGAGGCAGCATGTCGGGACTGGCCGTCTCAGCAGGCCTCGCAGGAGGTGGTGGGAGAAGTTCTCCTCTGCCTTTTATCAGGGCTGGAGCGATGTGCCCACAGCTTCTGGCAGATACACCCTGCTCCTGGGGGGTATTGCCATGAAGGGGGCAGCTGAGCATCCCTGGGGTACCCTAGGGTGGGCCTACATGAAGCTGTCCCACTGGCTCCCTAAATGCCACCCAGGCATTGCAGTGATAGGTGCTGGGAAAGAATTGCTGTCTGGATGTGATGGTCAGCTGTGGGACGAAGGCCATCACTCCAGCTCTCCCTGGTCTGCAGACTGTAGAGCCTGGAGCTGTCCCTAAGCCAACCCTGTAGACTTCATTGCTCATCTGCTTGAAAGACGGAGGAACTGCAGCATCCATAGTGGAGCCAGGGCTGCTGGGACTTGAGGCCTTGCTAAATGACCCCCGACCTCGTAGGGACATCTTGACAGGGAAAACTTTCCCTGATAAGAAAGCTGCTTTGGGATTTGACCTGGGGAAGAGAAACCTGTCCTCTTTGCCTAGCATGGTCTTTGAGTACACAGCAGACTGGATGCCGGTGGTGATGTCAGGATTGTGTTCTCCATTCCCTCTTCCCTGGAGGATGCAATACTTCTTAAACCTTCCACAGCTACACCTCTTCTGTGGTCTCTGGGGGGATAAGGTGGCTCAAAAATCACTGCTGAGGTCTCAGGTGGCTGGGGTTGCTGGAGAGCCTCCCTCCAAAGGGCTCAGGGCTGGCCACCACATGCCACTCTCAGCTGTGGTTCCTGGAAGCTTCCACCCTTGCTGAGCCCACAAGGCAGGTGGTTGTTGCCTGCAGCCATGTTGCTCGTTGCTTTGCTTCAGTCCTCTGTCTCTGGCGTGGCTGGGGTAGAGCAAGGAATGTAAACTGAACTCCTAGCAGAACCATACTGGCATGGCTGCTGTGATCCCAGGGCTGCCCTGACCCCCTCCTCCCCTTTGCTCACAGCTCCCCCTGAGAGCAGGTGGGGGAAGAAGAGGAGAAGGCAGGGAAGAATGGTGGGGCCAGGCAGAGTGATACTGAGCAGGGAAAGGACCATGATGAGATGGGAACAAGGCTTCCTGAATGCTGTGATGTCATGTCCTGGGGACCAGTCTGTCCCCTGCCCACAGCCTGGGGAATGGCAGCTCCAGGGACAAGGACCCATACCTCATCCATCAGCTCACATGTGCTTGGATAGCACTAGAGGAAGAAGGACTGGGGCTTTAACCCATGGGTTTCCAGCCATGGCGGGTGTCCAATCAACCTGACCTCTTTACCTGTAAGAACATGGGCTTGCTAGACGGACTGGGTGGGGTAGAGCTTTTGTCTGGGCTCCAGCAGGGATTTTAAGGAGATGCCACACCAGAAATTATTTTTTTAGGCTGGAGAAATGTGCGAGAAAGAGGCAGGGCTGAGAGGAGGGAGTTGTGCTGAATGAAGGGTTTGCTGCCCCTGTCCTCAGGTGCTGGCTGTGCCAGAAGCTGAGGATACCCAGCAGAGTGGCAGTGACAAATTGGGCTGTGCCCAGGTTTGGTATACGAAGGGCTGAAGCTGGCCCAGATAGTGGGATCAGAGAACCGACGTAGGGAGGATTTGGGAATCCAGGAGACCTTTCTGTGCGGGTTCTCCATCCTCCGTTGCTCACCTGGGGACTGAAGTTCCCCAGATGTGGGCCTTCATGCTCCAGCAGCGCTGTGGGTGTGTTGTAGGCACTGCCTGCCAGCACTCTCCCTGGGGAGGCTGCACAGCACAGTGTACGCACCAGCAGCCCCATTACCTGCCCGCTGAAAAATGTTGTTCAACTTGTGCATGGAAAGAGGCAGGCTGAGAGCAAGCTTGTCCCACACCAAGGGGAAGCTGGGAGAGGCTCCTGCTGGCTTTTAAGCAGCGCCTCGTTAATTTTTTAAATGCACCAGTGTCAAATTAACACACAAAAGAGCAGCATGACTTTAAATGCAGGTTTCCGGGCTGCATTTCATTTTCCTTTAATAAGATCATAGCGTTTGCTCAGCGGGCGGCAGCGAACCGCGGAGGAGACGTGCGTGATGGAGAGCACTGCCAAGGACGGGCGACAGCAGTGGTTGCACTCTCACCTCTCCTGACTCTGTGGCACAGGCAGGGAGCTGGCAGAGCGTTGGGGTGCTCACCCAAGACCCCCATGGCATGGACCTGGTAAAGAAAATATCCCAAAACCTGTTGTCTGTTCAGCTGCGTCAAAGCCAGGGCCAATCAAATTGCTCATGTCCAACAGAGAGAGAGACTGGGAACTCCAGCTATTTATTTATTCACATGTGACGCCACGGCACAAAATCTGCCTCTCCCTCCATCCTTGCCTCATGCTGGGGCCAGTCACTGTGCACCAAAGCAAAGGGCACCGCAGGCTCCCCGCCTGACCTGGGAACTGCAAACAAAAATATTACTTAGCATTTCAAATAAAACAGAAACTCCCACGGAGGAGAGGGTCTTCACCTGGCTTCAGTGAAGCCAAGAGATTCTCAGGCACCTCCTGCGCACAGCCACATGGACTCCCATGGAACCCTTTCTGTGAGACCTGTCCCTGTCCCCATCTGCCCTGTCCCCAGCTAATGACACTTGTGGATGTCCTCACTCCCTAGTGTTTAATGACAACCAGCTGCCGGCTCTGGCAGTGCACGCTGTGGTCACGGCATTCTCTCGCTGACTAGGGATGCGCAGTTTTTTCCAGCGTGGTATCACATTTAGAGCTTCATGTGGGACCTGGCAGAGTTCAGAGTGGGAAGGAATATGGGCAGATGAATGGGGCTGGACAGGCAGTGCAACCTGCTCTTTTTGCTGCCTAATCTGCACCCTGTGAATAAGCAAAAGTGGCCCATTCTTCAGCAGAAATATCTCTAAGCCAGTGTTATATTTAGTATAGTAGGAAACGCTGAGTGGGGAGGGGAGAAGGATTGCCTTTCCCACCAGAGCCATGATGCAGATGCCTGAGCAGTGCCGTGGTGGCATCTCCTGGAGTAATGTGAGAGCAGGGTGATGGTGGAAGCTGGGGTCCCAGCTAGGGCAGGGCTGCAGTGTGTCCTGGAGGGGGCTGGAGAACAGAGTGGGGATTCACTCGTGGCCTATGTAGGAGCTGGAGCATTGGGGAAAAGCAAGACACAAGCTGAACCTCCAACTCCCTACACCCCAGTGTGATGATGAACTCATCCAGCCCCCCACGGGGGTCACACCACCCAGCCTGAGCCCCACTCTCTCCTTCCTTGCAGGCTTTCGGGAGAGCGCCTTTGCGTATGCTATAGCGGCTGCTGGCGTGGTGCACGCCGTGTCCAACGCCTGCGCTCTTGGGAAGCTGCAGGCCTGCGGCTGCGACCAGAAGCGCCGTGGCGATGAGGAGGCTTTCCGGCGCAAGCTGCATCGTCTCCAGCTGGAAGCCATGAACCGCGGCAAAGGCATGGTGCACGGGGTGCACATGGAGCACATGCCAGCAGAGACCCCTGGCCTCCAGGACTCCTGGGAATGGGGAGGGTGCAGCCCCGATGTGGACTATGGAGAGAAGTTTTCCAAGGATTTCCTCGATTCCCGGGAAACCTACAGGGATATCCACTCCCGGATGCGGCTGCACAACAACCGCGTGGGCCGGCAGGTGAGTGGGGCGCTGGTGACAGTTGTGGGGAGATGATGGTGGGAATGGGGTCCCCAGGACATGTGTGGGAAGGCTGCAAGGGACTCACGCTGGCTTCTGTGGAGCCATTTGTGAGTCTGGGATTGCCCCAAACGCACCACCTTTCCCCAGTCCTGCCCAGAACAAAGGTGGTGATGCCCATAGCAGGACTGGGCTGCAAGGATATGCTGGTCAAACACCTGCTGGGAGCAATACCTCTGAGCATTGCTGCTGTGGCCTTGCCAAGGAATGCTGTCCCAGGCCACTGTCACCTGTCTGTGCTGCAGTGGTGCTACTGGGGTGGCACAGCAATGATTCTGGCTCCTGCCTCTCAGGAACTGTGTGAATTGGTGTTGGGGAGCTGCAGTGGGAAGCTAACGACAGGGAGGAGAAAGTCACTGGCACCATGGGGATACAGCACAGATTCTGCAGCACCCAGCTATGTCTCTGCTTCCAGAAAGGGAGCCAGTGGAGGAGGAGACAGATGTGAATGAGATTGAGTTAGGCACTGGGCACCCGTAACAGCTGGGAAATACAGCATGCCCTTGGGAGCAGAGGTGACAGCCCACAGCTGTGTCCCCTCTCTCTAGCAGTGTGCTGGAGCCTGTCCAGGCAAGCAGGACAGCTTCCCCTCCATTCTTATAATGTCGGGTCTCATTAAAGGTACTAATTAGTAGCTCACTCTGTCTGGAAGCTGAGGTTTAAAAGCAGCCTGACATTGGAGACAAGAATCATTCAGGCAGGAGGGGCTGTATTTCCCTGCCTGCTTTTGCTCACAGCAGGTGCCTGAGAGATCACAGCTATTGAATCCAACAGGACATGTCTCCAGGACCCCAGCCACATGCTGCCAGGGCAGTGCCAAGGGATGTGTAGTGGCTGTAGGAATAAATAATTAAAGGTCAGAATTCCACAGGGAATATTTCCTTGGGATGGCTCAGACACTTGGATATGCCTCTGGCTTTGAGCATGTCTGAAGCCACCTGTGAGGTGAGGATGCTGCAGAGCAGGACCTTAATGTGTGGCTTCTCCTGATGCTGGACCTGTGCTTTACCACCCTGGAAAAGCCACCCCAGTTTGTCCAAGCTTTAAATGCCTGGGGAATACCAAAGCTTTTGATTTGTTTTGCTTTGTTTGCTTGTGTGTGGTGAAAGCTTACTCAGTGTTAGGAAGCTAAATCATCTGCAGGCTGCTCTGGCCCAGTCTGGACAAGACCCCCATACCGGTTCTGACTGCAGGGCTCATCCTGATTCCCCTGCATCTCTCCATGCTCCAGATTTCTGGGACTCCTGGCAGTGCTCAGAAACCTGTGGTCCCTGTTCCCTGTTTCCCAAGGGAAACCTCACAGCCTGCAGAAGGAAGGGAATGTGAGAGAGGAATATTTGCTCTGGCAGGATGTCACAAAACATTTCCTGTGGGATCCAGTAACAGTGAAAATGCCTGGGGTCTGCTTGTCCCTGAGGGCAGGCAGGCATGGCACTGGCAATGTCAGCTCTTGGTGGCTTCAGAGACAAGATCTGGAGTGATGAAAGAAGCCTCGGAGCTAGAAGAAGAGGCAGAAGAAGACTAAAGGAATAAAGGAGGGAATGGTACCTGTGCAGGTGGGGAAGCAGTGCCTGGACAGGCTGCCCAGCTGAGGGATCTTGCTGAGATGAGGGTGTGAGCCCATGTCTGATGGCTGTGGGTGCAAGAAGATGCTGGACCTGGTCTGTGTCTGTTGGTGCAGTGCTTATTGCCAGGGCTGGTCCTGGCTGCCCCACTGGGGATGGGTTCTCCAACTCCCCACCTGCTCTTTTAGCAATGCTGTGGGTCCCACCCAAGCCCCACTTACTACTAGGAGCAATGTTCCTGCTGTAATAAGCAACAATCTCCTGGGATTTCCCAGGGAAGGAATGGCTGTGCTGATTGCACAGGTCCTCCCCTCCAAGTCCTGAGGCTTGAACCTCTTTAGTGAGCAGTGATGTGGACATGGAAGCCTCGTGCCGTGCCCTGCCATTCACCATCCCTCTCCGTTGCACCAAGTAGCTGCAGCACCCAGAGTTCTCCAGCATCTCACTGATTCTGAGCATCCTCTCTGTGGTTCCTGTGTATCCCAGGGGTGCTGTGCGTGTGGGTAAGCCTGTCTCCCAGCTCAGACCCTGCAATGCTGGAGGGAGGTGACAATTCCATGAATGGTGGCATCCAGGTGCCATCAGATGTGGGTTTCTGTAGTGTAGTGGTTATCACGTTCGCCTGACACGCGGAAGGTCCCTGGTTCGAAACCAGGCAGAAACACACTGATTTTTCCTTTTCACGTCCAGCTATGAAGCTGGGCAGGGCATTGCAGCTGCAAGGGATGTGCAGCATCCTCTGATAGTGGCAGTGGTGACCTTGGTCCCGAGGAATAGGGAGCCCTGGGATAATCACTGCTTGGTCCAACTCAAGACTGAGGTGGGTGTTCTGCATCCCTGAGAAGGCAGCAAGCTCCCCAGCAAAGAGCAGCAGGAGTGTGAAAGAGACTTTGCAGGTCCTGCTAACTCACCAGATCAGAGAGCGAGAGAGGATGAAAGGAAGCCAGGAACTACCCATTACCCTCACAACAAAGACCTACGATAAAGCTCTTATGAGCGTGCCTGGGAGGAGCTGGGAATGTACGAAAGAAAGCACCAGCGAGTCCGGGCATGTGTCGAACTTGGGTGTCTATGAGACGGGGAAAGGACGGGTAAGGGTGCATGGAGAAAATTCAATGACAAAAGCATGGGGCCAAGACTCAGATGGGTCCTTCTTGCATCTCATAGCTCTGCAAGGTCTTGTCCCCTCTGTGCTGCCTGTGCAGGAGGGAAAGAACACGCCATCGCTGGTCAGGGATGGATGGGTGTTGTGGTGTTGGTGCTCAGGATACTCAGCAGTGATGCCTTGGGCGATGGAGATGGCCACACTTGACACTTTCTTCAGCTCCTGCTGTGACCAGCTGTAGCCCCAGATGACTCCCTGTCCAGCTATCACACCACTGTCCCCTCCATCCCAATGGGGAGCCTGCTAGCCACAGCCTTGTATGCAGATTTTTCCTGGTCCAGCCAAGCCAGCGGGGAGGGGATGTGGGAAAGGATGGGGTCCCAATGCCAGTGTGTTCCCGAGGATAGTGACAAGAACAGTGGTGAGCAGCTGGTGTTCCTGGCTGGCACACCCAGGACATGGTGGAGAGGCCAGGTGGCTCATTGCCTGTGAGGTGGAGGCTCTTCCCAGCAGGAGCAGGACTCTCAGCAGGATGAAAGCCAAACTCCAGCCCAGCCCAGACCTCTCCACCATGTGCCCCAAGCTCCAGGTGTGTTTCCCTGACCTGCCTTCATTACCATAACTGCTTAGCAACTTGGAGATTTACTCTAAAACAAGAAAGCAAGGAACAAAAACTGCCCACCAGTACCTAAACAAGGCTCTCCTGTCACATGTGTCCCTCTCAGGGAGGGGGCAGGAATAGGCAACATGTGGCAGGCATGAAGCCAGGTAGCTGGGCAGGACTGGCATTGTAGGACAGCACCTTCCACAGGGACAGGTGTCCCCTGGGATCCCCCCACAAGCCCTGGAGCATGGCCCTGGGTATGGGGATCAGCCTGTGATAGTCTGCAAGCCCCAGCTGAACTCCTGGTGAGATTTTGGTGTCCACATGGGAAGGGAGCTCATTGAAGCCTGTGTGAGCACATGGATATGGGGGCACACAACCCAGCAGGGAATCCCTATTGGGACAGAGCAGAGGATGTTATAAACTGTCTCTTTACAGGCTGTGAGGGGATGTATGGTCATGTTGTGCCCCTGGAGATTGATGGGCATGAGCTGTTTCTCCTGCCTTGGCCACAGCAGTATCCCTTACAGGCATGGGGGATGTAGGGGATCCCAGCATGTAGCCTAGGGCTCGGCAGCCTTGTCCAGGGAGTCCAAGGAACTCCACACTGGCCTCTGGCCCCTGCATGAGCTGTGCTTTTGGGCTAGCCCAAACTACAGCCAGATCCCAGCCCATGCACCCCGGCCCTTGAAGGACATGGATGTATAGCTCTGGCCACACTGCAGCCTCTACAAACTGTAAGTCAGGGATGTGATCCCTGCTTGGAATTTGTGTGGTGGTGAGAGGCAGTGCCTCAGCCCCCTGGTGCTGTGGCCAGGTTGGCTGAAGGAGAGCAGGCAAGAGCTAAAAGCAAAGCTGCTCCCAGGGCTCCCAGAATTGGAGCTTTATGGGATGAAGACCCTGGGGAGGGAAAAAGAAGGGGAAAGCATTCCCCCCACCTGCCCCACTTGCAGTGTGACTGGTGAGGTGCATGGGAGACCCTTGCTTTGAGGGGTGTCCTATTATGGCTGCACAGATGCAGCCATGCTGGTTTTAACTGGGGTGCAGGATCAGGTTGATGCTGCTGGAGCCAAGCTCCTTCTCCTCCCTGTGCTCAAATAGCTCACCCTCTCCTTTAGGTGCCAATCCCTTGCTGAAACATAAAAGCCAGTTGGTATTGCCAGGATGGGAAGGGACAGGGTGTGGGACATGAGTTGCACTGGGCACAGCAACAGGGTGCAGCCTTGCTGGCTTTGCAGTTCCAGAGCTTTGATGGCTACTCATGACAGCCCTTGATGTTCCCGTAGTGCCAGCCCACACAGAGCTCCATTGTGGCTTCTCCAGTCCCCAAAACGCTTCTCCTTCGTGCTAACTCCTTTGTCCTTCCTTCCCCGCCCAGGTGGTGATGGACAACATGAGGAGAAAGTGCAAATGCCACGGTACCTCAGGGAGCTGCCAGCTGAAGACGTGCTGGCAGGTGACGCCTGAGTTCCGCCTGGTGGGGTCCCTGCTCAAGGACCGCTTCTATGGGGCCACCCTCATCCGGCCCCACAACCGGAACGCCGGGCAGCTGGAGCCGGGCCACGCTCGGCATCGCCGCCGGGCCGGCATCAGCGAGCTGGTTTACTTTGAGAAGTCACCCGACTTCTGCGAGCGAGAGCCGGCCCTGGACTCCTTGGGCACCCAAGGGCGTCTGTGCAACAAGACCAGCCCGGGCATGGACAACTGCGAGAGCCTGTGCTGCGGCCGCGGGCACAACATCCTGCGGCAGACGCGCAGCGAGCGCTGCAACTGCAAGTTCCACTGGTGCTGCTTCGTGGCCTGCGAGGAGTGCCGCATCACCGAGTGGGTCAGCGTCTGCAAGTAGCCCGGCGGACATCGGTGCCCACCCCAGGGTGCCACGGACAAGCACGGACAACCCTGCGGCAGGGGAGGGAGACGGGGATCGGCGCTGGGGGGGAGGTGGAGCCGCGATACCCGCTTCCCTCCGCTCCGACGGAGCAGGAGAGGACATGCTCAGCACCCTCCAAAATCAGCACTTTGTCGTCACCTG